CTACACTGTTTGATCATTTTTGAAAAATCAAACGTATACAAAAAAAATATTTGAATTCAATCTTAAGACAAGAAGGAAAGTGTGCATGCACGCACTTTTCGAATAAATATACTCTACCATGGTAGTCTGAGTCGGACGTCGTAAAGTCTTCTAGAGGAAAACCATTGCTCGCCCTTCCGAAGACTTTATTGACGATGCTATTTGTGCATGTCCAGATACGCCTTGGAGGATCAATGTAGTCGTCTCCCCGAAGACAACAACTGCGAAATATGCGTCTCTCATACCCGATGATGAGAAGGCTATTCCTATAAGATATCCCAAGGTTTGTTGCATGAAAGCTATGATTCTCGTACAAAGGATCCAAAATCCAACCCGAACAATTAGAAATCATGAAAGCAAGAAGAAGCGGCGACTTGTTATGGAAATTAAGTGATATTCGTCTAGGACTTCTAAAATTTCATTATTGATTTCGTAAACCATACTTGAAAATCTTCTCCTCATATTTATCTAGAACGTTTCGTTGTAGAACACAGAAGAAGAACTGCAAACAAAAAAAAATTATGAAAGTTTTTTCGGAATAGCCTTCAGACATAGAAAACGAAACCAACCCTGTCGGAGTAAACATTGTAGGATATTAAAGCTTAAAAAGGTACTAAATCAAGCTAATATTTACGTCTAAGCAAAAGTGAGAAACGAACCCGGAATAGAAGCCAATAGACCTACGACAACACGTTTGGGAGGGCTTGATACAGTTTTGGATGATGCCTAAGAGGCTAAGACAAAGTCCTTATCAGAGACAAACACAAAGAACCGATTGAGCCAGGGAGATGGAAAGGGATACGCGACTCAAAACGATGGGCCGAAAACGATCGAAGCCCGAGAGCGAGCTATGGTAAGATTTAAATTTTTTGTATATGTGTTTTTTTTTTAAATTATAATTCAAATACTACTAACATATGTTTTTGTCTTTTGCAGACAATCGCTAATAATAGTGTGCCACCGCATTATGAGGTCGTGTTGAGGGACACGCACACGAACAAAAAGACCAAGCTTGTTCAAGATAAGGTGGTTGATGAGATCCTCGCTGTGATTGAGGAAGCACGCCAGATACAGCTAACTCATCTATCTCAAGCTGGGTCAAACGCAGAAAACTTACCCCGCGCGAAATGAACCGTATCGTGTTGAGCGTAAGTATTCAATTCATTTATTGTTTCCTTACATTTTTAGTGTATGTTTAACGAAACTAATAACTCTTTCTCTTTTATAGCTTGTTCCAACAAAAAAAAGTCGTAAGTTTGGGATTGGTCGACTTTCGGATCGAGATGAAGCAACCTCTTCTTCTACGTCTTACGGCTTTGCTCATCTTGTGGATGAAATTGAGAGGTTGAACCAACGATTCAACAAGGAGCGAACGGAGCGAGAGAAGAAAGAAAAAGAAAAAGAAGTAATTTTGGCGTGAATGAAGGCATTTCTCGAGAGGGAACACCCGGGAGAATTTTAAATGCGTTTTATGTTTTCTTATTATCAAAACAGTTTTTCATTAATGTTTTAGACAAATTTTAATATTATAATTAATATAACATTTCATTATTATAATTTATTAATTTTTATAATAATTTTAAAATTAAAAGTAAATAGCCATAATAGTTTTATTATAATAATATTGCACCTTGGATTTCTGTCGGATATAGTACCGTTGCATGTCCGTCGGTAGCTTTCCGACAAACTCTACTGTCGGTTTGCCGATGATTTTTCCGACAATGGCCAAGCATCAGTAATCTGTCGCTATGTTCAACAGGAATAATTTTGTCAGCAATCCGTTGGAATTTTTCTTGTAGTGCTAAACTATAATAAGTTACTGAATGTAGTTAGTTATAACTTCAACGGATGATCTTGTGGCAATGATCTTGCATCTCTGATTAGAGTTTTCATGAAAGAGAACATCCTACTCTGATTTGCAGAAGACATGAAAATACTCTCTTTTGCAGAAAAAGAAAAACAGAAGCATCAAGGGCAGTGACAATGTCGTCAAAACTAGATGCTAAATCATATTTGACCAACTTATCACTTACCAAACAAGAATCATCAAAAGGACACCAAAAAATGAGGTCGATGGAAAAATATACCATCACAGTTGTAAGATTTCACTTCCACCGGAGAGATTGTCTAATCCCGGTGAAGATGAGCCCGACTGATCTACCGATCAAGGTGACAAGAAAGAAGGATATGATGCTACTCACTTTATCCAACACCACTCTGATAATTGGCATTCCAATGTCTGATAACTCTAGAAACAAACTGAAGTAGTACCTCCTGTACACATACAACACTTTTTAATGTGAATTCTCATGGATTTCTTGGTTTTGCGATTGAGGTCAAAGAAGAGAGGTTTACCATCCCGATAGAGCCTTAAGCTCCTTGGTTCGTTTAACGGGCAATGAGAAATCCCTGATTATGGAATATCGCAAGGGAGATGATGAGGCAGCTTTAGATTTTCCCGGTGTGAGCTTTCTCCACCAACTAAGGCTTTCTGTATCATCACCACCATCAAGGTTGTTAATAACCTGAGTTTGAAGAATGTAGAGGTCAAAGCGATCCTCATACATCGACACAACTGCTTCCATGTTCTGATGCAACCACTGGTATAGAGCTACCTATAACCAAGTAAAAATGATATCTTTGTCCATGAGAGATGAAATGTAAAGTGGAACTCAACACAACTGAAGTGGATTCTTTACCTCGTTACGTAGTTTTTGGAGTGCTCGACTAGAAAGGTTACAGATATCTAATCCACCACTGTTCATTTCGTTTGAAAATTTGCTATCTACAGAAATGAGCTCTAGATAGATGCTAGCAACACCATCTGCTAAAGTTATCATGAAGTCTTCCAAAATGGCAACTCCATGAGTGTGAAACAAGCTAAGGTTGTAGCAGGAAGCTTTCCCGGTATATCCATATCTATGGAAATATAAGAATTCTGCAAACAGATCTTCCTTGCCTGATTTTCTTATTTTATCAAAAACAGCGTCCTTTTCATTTAGCATTCTGAGAAGCAAAGGAGTAATCGCCTGCACATCACGGGATAGATTCTGGAGCTCATTTCTAAATCTGGTATTCAAATAATGAAAGAAACAAAATAGAAGCAGTTTGCGGTCACTAAATGCTATATAATATCGATGTACCTTGTCAGAATCAGTGTTTTCTGCACACAATTCCCTTTTTAGCCAAGCCGTGCATGCTCCTTGATATGCTTCGCGGACAATATCAGTAAAACTAACCATCCATTCATCCAAATTGATTGTGCTAGAAATCTTATTTGTCTGCAAAGCAAATACAATAGTTGCTCAGCAAGTATGGAGAAACACAGCAAACTTATGTCTTGAATGTTACTAAGGGTAGAGAAGAAGAGATCTAACTACTAGAGAACAAAGGGACAAAAAAATGAGCCAGTAAGTGCTTGCCACTTGTAATTTTACTCAAATCCTCTCACCTCAAACTCAAAGATTTCTTAACGTTGCAACATTGTGACATAAACTGGTATCTAGAACGGTTATTGATGCAATTACTTGACTCAAAGTGCACATGCTGCTTTTTTGATGATACTCTATTTTTGGTAATGATGATATGCCCCTGAACTAGAAGTCATCGGAACCTCTTGAAAACAAATATGCTCAAAATGAAATACGGGAGAAAGCAGGTACAAGCTGACCTCTTCTTCAAGCTTTTGAAAGCATGACCAGAGTAAGTACAACTGGGGCCCCTCAGATATCGCATACAAACTCAGTGGGGGCTTCCCTTGGGACTGTTTGGCTTTGAGGACTCTGCTTCCAAGTGTACTATCACGCTTGATGGCGTCTAAAGAATCTAAAAGCTTTGCTTTCACCACATCCCATACAGACTTCAAATCACCCTCAAAATCTGTCTCCCTACAGTCCATGAATAGAAGAAAGGGGCTGTGTGAATACAAAAAAGTTTGCTTTAATGGTTACCTTACAGCTACACTGCACGGTGACGTGAAATGGAATAGAGACCTCATGACTACTCTTACCTACCAGAAGATTCTGAAGTCAAAACATCTGGAGCCTCCTCAACAGTGTTCTTTCTGGTGGAGTAAGTGGGATTTTGAACAGGAATCACTCCAGCCATATATGTAAGGAATATACTGGCCATCAGGAGAACTTGGTCACTGATAGGGACCCAGCCGGAACCAGCAACACCATCAAAATCTGCCAGCGATGCGAAGCAAGTACACTTACAAGAAGAGTCTTCCCGAGAAAGATGGTGTGCTCCAAGATTCAAGGGAGTAGAAACATAAAGGTTTTGAGCTTTGCCTGAAGGTCTCCATGTGATGCTGCAACTCCCAAAAGGCTTCCTACAAAAGCCATTTACTTTTAAACCCTTTCGTATACAAGAAAGAGGTTTATGGTGTGGTTAGCTAAAGAAAAGAGATTGAGATGGAACCTTTGGGCAATCTTGACATGAGGAATCCTGGAGTGAACGTGGTGCGTACGCAGCTGAATGCACAATGATGGAGACACAACATGTCCAACCATTGGTAAGAGCTTAGAACTAAAGGACTAAAACATGCCTAATCTCGTGAGGAGATCCCCAAGCCCAATCTCTACAACAACAGAAGCAGAAACAAAACAAAATTAAATTCCAGAAGCTAATTGCAACAGGGCTTGTGTGGGGTTTGTATCTAGGACATTGAAATTGAGGTCAAACTAGTAGAATCTAGCTTCAGATTAACACATTGACAATCGAAAGAAACATCATTGGCGTGGAAAAAGTAGGAAACAAACCTCAAATAATGAGGAAGCGCGAGAGAGGAGAAAGCTCTGGGTTTCTCTGATACGCAAGAGGAAGACGAATTGAGAGAAGAAGAAGCGGATTGGGGTTGTGCGTACCTCAAAGAGTTTCTTTCGTCGTAACCCAACGACAGAGACAAAACGAGAACGATAACTGTCAAGATCTTTAGTATATTACTGACATTTCATTGTATGACATCAACGATGGGGTGGTGGCGCAGTTGGCTAGCGCGTAGGTCTCATAGCTATCTGAGTTATCCTGAGGTCGAGAGTTCGAGCCTCTCTCACCCCAATTTTCTTTTATTTCTTTATTATAAGTCAGGTCCATTCACGCTGGTGTCTGATATATCTTCCTTCTTAGGTAAGAAGAGCATAGAACAAATATCAAACTCAATGCAAAACCAACAGATCGATTTAGAGCCTAGCAAGTATGAGTGCGATGTTTTAAGGGTTTACTTAGTTTTTGTAGGTTATGAACAACTAGCTGAATTTTTCATAAGCAACATGTCAAGTATATAAAGTTTGTTCATGTAAGGTTAGTAACAAAAGGTGAGGAATCATGTAAGGTCTATAAAGACCATCGGCATGTTGGATATTGCGGACTGGGATTCATTTTTGATAATGTTTTGACTTTGCTTCCTGGTGCGCCTAACTCATTTTAAAGGTTTAATTAAACTCGATATATATTTTAAGTAGTATATATTGAGTTTAAAATAGGAATTTGGGAAAGATTTTTCTTTTTTGATTCACAATTTGGGAAAAGGTTTAAAAAGGGTTTTGATGTTTTAGATTCTGCACTGGTAATTGACAAATTGATTGTGAATTGTTTATATTATGTCAGAGAAAATCGTCACTTTTATCATGTAAAGA